ATAAAAATAAAAAATAAAATAAAATAAAATAAAATAAAATAAAATAAAATAAAATAAAATAAAATAATAAATTATCGTTATTATTTTAAATTCTGCTTTAAAAAATCAGCATAAGATGTTGACATGAATACAAGTTCCAACTTTTTCTTAATATTTTTTGGGATATTCCGTAAAAATAAAATAATAGTAATAATAATGAAAATAATAATAATAAGAAGAAGAAGAATAATAACAATAATAATAATAATAATTTCCCAATGCTGTGCAACATAAGCAATTTGTGAGGCTTTAAAGATGCCTTCAAAGAATTGCTGAAGTTCCAAGAATTAAACACCGATTGCCTATTTTCAAAAATTAATAACTCTAGAGCTGTGGGATTTTGCAAGTTTTCATGGTTTCGGTAGAAGTTTTTGTGTGATTTTGTTTTTCAAGAAAATCCGTGACCCCAGCTGGGAAGCCCTCGGTGAGCTGGCACGAAAAGAGGCCGGTGAGAAACGGACGGCGACCGAGGACGGTGATGAAACAGGGACAGACAAGGGCAATGTCCTCTACGGGGAGAGAGAGAAGGTAGAGGGGCGCCTGCCGGGGTGAATCTGCCCGCCGTGCTGGTGCCTGCTTTTGTTTGGCCAGAAGATTCCTAGTGATAGCCTCGGGGGCTGCTGGGAAACACAAGACAGAACACGCATGCTCGGAAAACCCACCGACCCACCTCCAATCTGAATATATTACCTTTGCGATAGCACATGTGATTCGTAGCCATAGCTCATGATCGAACACACTGACATGTTGATCATATCTGGACGTTGTGTGCTCGTTCAAATATTGGTTCAGAGGCCCTTTCTGTCACACACACACACACACAAAAAACTGAATTTTAGAAAAGTGTGGGCTACGTTCCAGCGGATGTGGAGCCATTCGTGAATGTATTTGTTGACACTGATGTTGTGGTCACCCAAAACAAACCGGCAGGCCGGCGGGGTTATCAGCAAACGAGACAGGCTGACGCAGGGGGTCCTGCAACATGTTGTTCCCTAATTGAGTCAGCACGGGCAATCTGAAAAGAATTTGAAGGTATAATGAGAATTCAAAAGGTCTCTGATTTTTATCAGCGCGTACAGCCCACCGTTTACCTTTATTTCATCATTTGTTATTTCATTTCCACCATTATTGATTTATTTATTTTTTGCATTCATTCACAGCCCTGGAATAGTTTTCTTACACTGACAGGCTAATTAATCTGTAGGCGTTTATCGCCGCTTCACTGATACGGTTGGGGGGAAATATTATTCATACAGAGTTATGGTTTACCTATGAAATCCTGCACAATCTGGGTTATTATCATTATGCCATTAGATAAACACAGTTTTAATTTCACACTATTTAAGATATTAATGAATCTATCAACCTTTTGCTGACATGTTGTGGTGCCAGGAAATGAGAAATGCTGTTTAAATGTAAAAGAAAAAAAAAAAAAAAGAAGCAGCTGTTGGTTTTTATTTCTCATAATTTCCAGGAAGAACATCGTATGGAGATCATAAACGAAGACAGGCTGCGACATGATGCAACACCTGAAGCTGCTATCCAACCAAAAATAAACCCCCTCATCACATTTGCTTTACGTTTAACTAATGCATATTGGAACACCTTGACTCTCAAATAGAGGTTTTTTAATCCTGGCTACTACTCCGCAGCTCTCAAAGGGATTTAATTTGGTTCAACTGCAGGTTCCTGTGTATTATGCAAAAACTGAACGTGTTGAAAATGAGGGGCTAATTATTCCATTTGAGAGGTTGTAATTACATCCTTTAGACTGTGCAATGGATATTCCAAAGTGGCTCCTTCTCCTCGGTGAAGGATTTCCTGGGTCGAAACAAGTGCAGCTCAGTCAGCCGTGCAGCAGATTGACCCGTGCGGTCTTGGCCTTTTGCTGGGAAATCTCCAGTGCTCCTGCCAGGAACAAAAAAAAAAAAGTCCCATTTACAGAATTCATATCGCTCTCAAATGTTCTGAAAGTGATGGTGTCAGGCAGTTTGTTAATGTGTGTGTTCTGAGCAGAAGGAGACTGTGCTTAAAAGCGAGTGATTAATTTGATATTATTGACGGCGACTGAGGATCCGTGATCCAAAATAGACCTGAGAATCCCCCCCCCAAGCTGTGCAGACTTATGAAAAGCAGAAATGGGGAGGTGAAAACTTCCCCAGAAGAGTTAGGTAACCACAGTCAGGAATGGGCCGGGCTTCAGCAGCGATGAGGCAACACTGGGTCCGAGTGCGTATAAATACCAGCAGGCTCGGCGTACCCAACCATCAGACGGACCTGTAGAAGAGCTGACAAGGGTCACTGAAAGATCTGAAGAAATCCACTCGCCCAGACAATCACCATCCATCACCGAAGCCCGGAGAATAAATTGAAGATATTGTGGTGCTCTTCGGTGGCCCTGACACCCATGAGAAAGAAGACCTATCAACTCTAATCTTCAAAGGATTTAATAACTAAACCATTTAAACCCCCCGACCGAAATGAAGGCATTCAGCATTGCAGTTGCAGTGACACTCGTGCTCGCCTTCGTTTGCATTCTGGAGGGCTCCGCGTTCCCACTCACCGGGGTAAGAATTCGACTTAAACTCACTTCATTTGCTTATTAGCTATCAATGTTTTGTCAGGATGCCGGGGATGTGGCGCCTAAATGTGCATAATTCATTAACAGGTGCAAGAGCCGGAGGAGGCAGGGAGCAATGACACTCCAGTTGCGGCACATCAAGAGATGTCAATGGAATCATGGATGGTATGTTCAATTGACTGAATGAATTAAGCCAATTACCATGAGCAAATTAAAATTTAAGTGGATGTGTTTTCCCCACGGAGCACCCCGGTGCTCCTCTCCATACGGGGGGGAGAGCGTGAAATGTTGGGAGATGAACGCCCTGCTCACCATGTCTCTTGTCTTCTCGCGCAGACGCCGAGTCACATCAGGCGAAAGCGTCACGGCCTCATCCCCGTGTGCCACTGGTGCTGCGAGGGCAAGAAGGGCTGCCGCGTCTGCTGCATGAAATTACCTTATTCTCCACTCCCCTTTCCATCTGCAAAGATTTAGCATCATTCTAAAAAAAAATGTATGATTCAAGGAACATCACTGACAAATGACGAGCTACTCTTTTGTATTTATTTTCTATGTTTTAACATTTAACGCGTCCTGTAAGCTCAGTGATATGTAAATTCACCCTCTTTTTTTTCTCTCTCTTTTTTTTTTAAGTCAGATGTTGTTTGAAAATGAGTGAAAAAAATATTTGTTTTGCTAAAATAAATATCTAACATTTTGAAGCGACTGCAAACGTGTTTTGTGTCATTAATATGGAAACACTGAACAGCAGTGGGTCTCCGCTGAATAGGTCTAAATTAAATAACTTGAGCATCGTGATCCTCAGAGCATGTGATAAATATTGCACTTGTGGCACAGCGTTTATGTAAATCACAATCTAAATTATTATAAAGTATTAAGCCATAAAAAGGCAGTTTAACCAGTTTGAATTGTAATTATGGTTGTGTAGTTCTCTGGATGTTGTCGGATGTGTTTTGGCTCAGTGGTGCGAACAAAGTGTCCAAACAAAAGTTAATATCACTTCAGATGCTTAACAAAGATGTTTAGCTGTCAATATGAATACCGTTCATACAATAATAACAGCTACCTTTGACAAATCCTTTACTCAGTGTGTTTAGCATCTATCATCCATCGCTGTACATCAGGGGTGTCCAATCCTGATCAGCTCGTCATCAAGCTCTGCAGAAGCCTGATAATGATCCTGATCATGTGAATCAGGTGTGTTGGAAGAGGGAAACATCTAAAACATGCAGGACTGTGGCCTTCGAGGACCAGGATTGGACATCCCTGCTGTACGTGATAGTCTTGGCAAAGACAATGAGGCTTTTGTGCTAAGATAAAAAATACATAAAACATCTTTTGCTTCTTGCATGTTTCATATTCTTGGCCTTTGTGCCTGTTAGTGACTTTGCTCAGGTTTATTTGGGGTGCAAAGAAGTGTCAACAGAAGTCAAGATCATCGTCATTGTAAGTCCACATACAAGGTGTGTCAGAAAAGTTCCAGGACTGGTGACACAACAGATAAACAGTCGTGACTCGATAATCCGACACTAAATGTAAAACCTTCTTTTATGTTGGATAGCAAGGCTGTCGGATTGTCAAGACGGAGGTCGAGATACAAGGAGGGCTTGATGCTTGAAGGCTCATTTGTTGTTAATATGTATTGTTCATAGTTGTTATAACTAGTAGGGCTGGTCCCAATAGCACTTTCTGGTCTCTGGATATTCAGGCCCAATTAATGATGGATATCACACTATTCGTTGTGGTTGGGGGACGCTTCCACGTCGGGGAAGCGCTCCAACGAGGTGGAAGTGGCCAGAATGCACAGATAGTATTTGGCTGCTGATGCCAGTTTAAGATAGCACTCACACTTCTGTTTCCACCATCGCCGCCGCCATTTTTGAGCATGCTCACTGCATGTAACATCGTCGTGTCCTCTTCTCCACATGCGGGACACTTCTGGGTCGTATGAAGTTCACACAGCAGATCACATACAAGTGTTTGGAAATTGGAACTTTGAACGAAAGATTTCGGATTTCACAAAAAAATCCTCATTGAGCATTAAGTCCTGCAGTCTGAACGTAGCCAATCTGTGGGATTGTTCAGTCAGATAATACGCCGTTATCCTGATTTGTGACATAAAATGTCATGTTGGAGTCTGAATCCAAGGCTGTTGGTATGTTAAGGCTGTTTTTAATGGGTTCTGTTTGTTTTTAATAAAAACCTGTCGGATAGCAAAGTTTCGGATCGTTAAGGGTCGGAAATACGACTGTATTTCAAACCCAAACTACAAGTTTCCTCTTCAGACGATCAACCAGCACGTCTACAAAGAGATCCTGCGGCGTTTGCTTTGTTCAGAAGAGACGAGAGTCGTGGCTGCTTCACCATGACAACGCTTCTGCTCGCAAGGCCCTGAGCATCCCACAGTTCCTGGCTGAGAAGAACATCGCCGTGCTGGATTTTTTTCCCTCTTCCACAAGCTCAAGGGGTCATCAAGGGGACCCGTTTAGAAGACGTGGATGATGGCTGTGACGACGGAGCTGCAGAGGATCACCGAAGAATCCTTCCAGGAGTGCATGGCAGCGTGAAGGCAGAGAAGGCTGGGGAACTTACTTTGAAGGGGAAAACTCATCGTTTGCAGTTTGGATTTGAAATACATCTTTTGTGACACCAGTCCTGAAACTTTTCTGACACACCTCGTATTGTCTACATAAAATGCATGTCGCGATCAGCTCAACTTGATTATTATTTACAGCGACCTCTGGACTATCAGGCTCATGTGGTGGAGTAGGTTGGTGGTTTGACCCCTGACCCCTCCATGCCCTGAGGTGTCCCCGAGTTGCTGCTGATGGCTGACAAAGCATGGAATTAAGAATAAAGAACAGAATACTGATCACTGAGAGCACACGATGCTTTCTCAGTATCCTGTTAGTTAAAGTGGCAATCTGGAGGATTTTCATTAAAGTAAATGCCTGTTAAGTTACTATCTGTTTCCAAATGAGGCAACACAATGGTGATGGAGTCTATGACCCAGCGAGGAAATCATCTGACACTCCTCACATTTACAGTAGCATGAACTGGGTGTCTTTGGCAACATTGCTATCCAGAAAACTTAAGCATCATTACCATCTGAGAAGACTTTATTTCACACTCGCTTTCATGTACGTGACCTTGAACAACGTGTGCCAGCTGACTGGTTCGCATCAGTGAGCAGTGAGGTTCGACAACACGTCTACAATTATCACTATAAATACCAGCAAAGAGGAGGAAAGGGAGAACTTTAAGATGCCCAGTTTAAAATTCAACTAACTAACTGCAGATAAACAGCATCCTCAGTGTGCTCAGTCAGTAGCTGCAGCCGCTAGTAGTAAAAAAATCGAAGTTAAAAAATTAGTTTATTGTCGTGATGCAAATTTAGCCTTCACTATTTTGCCTGAGCTATTTACCAGCGAATCCTGCAAAGTCATTACACAAGCCAGAGAAAGGAAATCAAATTGTGTTTTAGCAGTTCCCATGATGTTCCCACAAAAAAAAACAAAAAAAAAACAACTGAACAATAACAAAGACTTTGAATTCCTTCCGTGGATTTTTTTCAAAACGAATGAATAAAATAATTTCATTCATGGACTTTCAGAATATTTTAGACTGTGTGTTGCATTCGTTGCTATTGCTAACAGCTGAAGCCAAAAACTGTTTTAAGACCGCAGCAGTTGCTCTAAAAAAAAAAAACACTCGCTGCCCATCACTAACACATGGCAGACGGACAAAGTCAGAGAACGCAGTGAAAGATGTAGCAGCCGGAGTGAATATTTACTTGTTATGACATGTTGCTGGATGCATAAAGAGGCAACTGCTCACAAATTTGACAAATATCAGTTTAAGAATGTGATAAAACTGTGTTCACAAAGTTGCCAAAAAAAAGCAGTTATTGCAAGTTTAATGATAAATTAAACAGAATTCATAAAGATAATCGTCGACATGCCTGAATTCAGCTCCAACACCTGATAAAAAAAACA